GAACTGAACACATGTACAACCAAACAAAGGCACGAGGTGGGTCCCTTTTGGTCCTTTTATTCTGCACCATCAGGCAGAATATAACAGCACAAAATATGGAAAAAAAAACAAGATAACGCCACAGCCTTTAAAACAGCGGTGACATGTCGCCACCTTATTGGATAGGGAAGTCTGACCTAAATACGTCGTCGTTAGGTTTTATAGATTTTTAAAAAAATTAATTTCATTTTTAAAGGAAAAATAAGCAAACCTGGGAATGGAGCCGGCGCTCGAAAAAGGAGGCAAACTTAAGAGAGCGAAGGATCTCGAGGAAATCAACCAACGGCTGAGATTCAACTGGGACCCCCTTCATGGCGGGAGACTGGTCCTCTTGGTCCGGCTCACCATGCTCCTCCGGTCCGACCGGTTCAGGTTCCTCACCTGCTTTTCTCGACAAACTCGCCGAGCTCTGCACGTCACTGCTACTCTGACGACTCTCCTTCGTCCCTTCCTCCCCTCCCTTGGACTCGGCCACCGATTCCCTCAACTCCCGCGAGTTACCCTTCTCCGACTCCATAACCGCCGGTTCCTTCGCCACCGAATCGGAACTTCCGTTGCACGAATCCTCCACCGCCGGATTACTCGACTTATCGGCCGTCCCGATCTCCTCACCGGCTGTTTCACCCGGTTCATCCGGCTCCGAACCATTACCCGTATCGGCATCTCCGGTTCCGGGTTCCTCGGGTTTCGGATCTGTCGTGTTCGATTCGTCAAACGACCGTCCGTCGCGCACGGAGATATCTTTCTTCTCCGGCGAGACGTCAGCCGGTTTGATCTCTACCTCTCCGGTCTTCTCAAGATCCGATTTTCCAACCGGTTTTTCGGTCTCCCTCAGACTCTGTTCGCGCACTTCTTTTAACCTCTCCACCTTCGATTGCAGAGACCTACACGATTAATTTTAATCACCAAAAAATAAAACTATTAACTCCGATGGATAATTAAAAAAAAAAAATCAAACGCCGTCGTTACGGGTTGAGATTTTTACACGATGGAGCGATCGTAGCGTTGGAGTTCAAGCCGGAGTTCGTCGAGCCGCCGCTGCCGTAACTGGTCGAGCCAAAGGATGGGGGATTTATCATCGTCGCTGGCGGCGGAGACGGCGTCGTTGAAGCGGCGGCGGAGGTCGTGGAACTTGCGCTTGCAGGCGTGTGGGGTGAGGAGGTGGAGGTTGGAACTGCGCTTGCGGAGTTCGGTGGCGACGGAGTCCCAGCTCTGGGTGCCGAAGCGGTGGACGGCGCAGGCGAGGAGGAGCTCCTCCCACGTCCCCCATGTTGGTGTTTGTTTCTCGGGAAAATTAGCGGGCTTATCCATAAGGAAAATCATTCAGTCAGTCCATCGTCTCTAATAAGTTTGGGTTCTTCTTGTTAGGCCTCTGCAATTCCATTGAGAAATATGTATTTTAATTCCTCTTTTTAGGGTTTTTTGTTTGTTTGTTTATTTGGTTGCGTTGTGAATGTGATATAGGCACTTATCTCGAGCATGTTATACGCTTCCAACCGTACGTACTGGCTTTGCTTTTGTCGGCCAAATTTATTATTTCGCTTCCTAATTTTGTAGTATTTAAGTAAATTTACCTTTTTGAATTTTGAAAAAAAATATGAAAACTGTTATTAGTATTTTAAAATTTGTATTCTACAATTCTCATAAATGTATATTTTTTTAATTAGAGAATATTTAAAGTGCAAAATGAGATTTATGAGTGCCAATAACAATTCCCATAAAAATTACCAAGTTTAAAATATGCACAAAGTACGCTTTTTTGCAAGTATCATTACTATATAAACTAGAATAATGCTATTTACACACACTTTTACTTTTTACTCAGTGTTATTAATTTTGAGCATTGATATTTTCAATTTATTCTATTTAACGATAAAAATTGAAGGGATTGTGCAAAAAGTAAAAATGAGTATGTAAATAATACTACTCTATAAATTATAAGATTAAGTACCTAAAAAACTCAATCTTTTAGTATCATTTCAACTTTTTGAGGATAAAAGAATTTAATTAAGGGAAAAGTCTCGAAAACACCTGAGTCATCTGGAGTCATACAACAGGGCATTTCTAGCTTACTTGAACTCAAATAATAATAAAAATAACTTCAAAAATGACATGAAGATGAAAAAATTAAATTAAATAACAAATTTACAAAGAACATAAAAAATAGAAAACAAAAATGAAGATCGAGAAATATTAAGCCCTCGCCACCTCCAAGCTCAACCTGTGGCCATCAAAACTCCATCCCAACTTTTATACTAATCTTGAAAGCTTTGACTGGCCTACTTGGTGGTTGGAAATATTAAGTCCTAGGTGAGTTAAATATCATAAGGGAACGTTTGATGTTTGCTTTTAATTTGGGTCTTAGAGATATTGTTCTCGAGCTTGACGCGAAGGGAGTGGTGGTGGCTGATATTACGTCTATGGAGGATTGTCTGGGTCCAGAGGGTTGTACCATGGAGAATATACAAATGTTGGGAAAAAGTTTCGAATTTTTTTTTGTCAATGACAGAACAGAGCTTGTTGTGGCTCATGAACTAGCTCAGTATGCAGTTCGTGCTAATGATTTTAAATCTAGGATTGAAGAGGAGCCTATTTGGCTCTCTCCTCTTGTGCTGTTTTTTGATTCCTCATGTTAATGAAAGTCATATTTTCATAAAAAAATGAAATAAAAATCTATAAACATAAATAAATGTGCAGAAATTTGATGGAAGACTAAACCCGCTAAATGTGCAAAAAACTGAATAGAGAATATAAAAAGAAATCTTAAATTTCACAAAGAGTGTGGGTGTAAGGGTAGTATTGGAAAGTATGTGAGGTGTATTAAGATAAATTTTAATCTAACAAATAAATGTAAGGTGTATTAAGTATATAGGGTGTAGTCAACAAAATGTGGAGTGTGTACAAGACAACCCTTAGAATAATACTATTTACACACACTGTTACTTTTTACTCAGTGTTATTAATTTTGAGCATCGATTTTTTTTTCAATTCATTCGATTTAACGATAAAAATTGAAAGGATTGTTCAAGAAGTAAAAATGAGTGTGTAGATAGTACTACAACAGGGCATTTCTAGCTTACTTGAACTCAAATAATAATAAAAATAACTTCAAAAATGACATGAAAATGAAATAATTAAATTAAATAACAAATTTACAAAGAAAATAAAAAATAGAAAACAAAAATGAAGATCGAGAAATATTAAGCCCTCGCCACCTCCAAGCTCGACCTGTGGCCATCAAAACTCCATCCCAACTTTTATACTAATCTTGAAAGCTTTGACTGGCCTACTTGGTGGTTGGAAATATTAAGTCCTAGGTGAGTTAAATATCATAAGGGAATAAGGGAGGAAGACTAAGAAAGAAGGGGAGAAAGAACTTAGGCTGATATCGATGTATCACCTTCATAATCTTGATATTAAAGGAGAAACCTACAAGATTGAATTTGGTCTATTTCCAATACTTTCGACCTGTTGTAAGTCCTGAGTCAGCAAGTGCACCTGCCACTAGATGATAACATGTTGAAGCTCTATGTGATCTGTGTGGGTGATGATGTGAAGTGGATACCCTTCTTGACCACTCCCAGCCGCTACAGCATATTTGTTTTGCTTTTGTTTGGAGTGACCTTGAGTTGTAGGGTGCAATTGGTGACTGTGTATTGGGTTTGAAGGTGATAGCTTTGGTGGAGGTCATGCTTCCATGACCATCTATTGATTTTGGAGACAAAATAAGCCCAAGCCCTAATTTAATAAAATTTAATTGAGGCTTAACGGATATGACATTTTCAATAGGTTGGATAATGGTTTGGAGTTTTAGGTTCTTAATCCTAAATTATATGATTAGATTTGTTTATTTTCTTAAATTTTATTTAAAAATCATCTCTACAAAAAAATTATTGGATTCATAATCCTTTATGCTTTCAAAAGTATGAAACAAATCCACATTATAATTCATGATGAATCTTCTATTTAGTTACATTTGAACGATCTTCAAATAAAGATTAAAATTGGATGATTCCAATTTTAGAATTTATACTGTAAAAACATGTTATGCACAAGAGGTGAAATATGTCTTTTCCTTCAATAGGGATGCAAGTAATACATTTAGTTTTTTTTTTATTATTATTAAATGTGAAAATAACGTCTTGCAGAATTGTATTATGACAATTTCCGCCCCTTTTGTGCTTGGTAAGGAGGCTTCGTTCATTCGACCATGTTTTTTTTATTACAAGTGATAATCTACATCAATCTACACTAAGATGAATATAAATTATTTGAATCTGGAACACAGTATATTGAAGAGGAAGAAATCATATCTATGCATCCTGGTTTCGATCCTCCTCTTTCCTAACAACTAATTTAACTCGCTAATGTTATCGTTTGTTAAAAAAGAAAAAAATAAAAGACAGTTCACTACTTGCCGTACAACTAGAATTATGAAGCCCAAGTTGTCATCCTCGCATAGGTTGAATGAGCTTAAAATACATGGAACATGGAGCTGTACTTTTTTAGCACTTACACAACTTTTGTACGACAGGGAAGATAATTATGGGATATGATATCCATATATTCAATTTTACTTATCACACACACTTCTAATTTTTAACCATTGAATCGAATGAATTGAAGAAGATCAACGGATAGAAATTAACAAAGATGTGTGACATGAAAGATGTTAAAACTAGAAGCACAATTGCATGATTAATTTTAATCGAAAAATTCATCGGTATCCGTATCCTGGAAGAGGATCCTCTCTCAGGATGGAAACCACGAAATCTGAACCGTTCAAATTTAATTTAACGATTGCAATTATTATAACTTTAGATGGTTCATATTTGAAACCGTTGAATTAAATTTGAACGGTATTCGAGATGATCACATGCTGATCCCATGCTGAGCTCAGGAGAGGATCCTCTTCCCCGTATCCCCAACCTTATTATTCAGCAATTTACAAAAACAAAACATCTAACAATATCGATCAAAAATCAAAATTACCAAAATCAATAAACAATCCATTGATTCTATTCAGTCCATAGCTCACTACAAGACTAGCACGATTTCGAAATTTCCACAAATTCAGGCGCCGGCACGGCGGAGCCACCCATCAGTGACCGAGTGCCTTCTTCAGTTCCTCCGCCACATCGCCCTCCGGCGACTTCTTATTCCCGTTCGACCGCCAATCCACTTTCCCGCTCGAATTTCTACTTCCCCCATTTATCTCACTCTCAGCAATCGACTTCGCGGTGCCGGCGATTTCGTGGCGCAGATCCTCCACGGCTTTCCTCAGCAACCCGTTCTCCGTCCGCAAAGCCTCCAGCTGATGCTTCACCCTAAAACAAGCCTCCGCCACCTCACCATTTCCCGGAAATGTAACCCCCTTATCCTCCGCCGCTGCCTTTGTGGTTTTGCCATTCGAATCCCCGCCTTCCACGTGTTCGATCCCAATCTTGTTCATCACCAAGAATGGGATTTTCTGAAAAGCAATCCCCGCCGTCGGATTCGCCCCAGATCTCTTCACCTCCGCGGGAACCCGAACCCCCCACCTCAAACTCACCACAGCCCGGTTCCTCACCGGCATCGACGTCCTCGCCGCCACCTCCATCCCGGAGAATACACCCGTGAGAACTCCATCCGCCGGATTCTCCGATGGCAAAACCGTGATTTTCTTTCCCGAAAACTCCGCCTCCACTACGGGCGTCTTCACCACAGCGGAGTCGTTTTGAGAACCGACGATCTTCTCGAAGACCGATGACTGCGACTTCTTGATCGAGAAGTCGCCGAACTGCGGCTTGAAGTGGAGCATGAAGCTAGGGTTTCTCCCGCGGCCGAGGAGATTGAACTCGGCGCTCATCAGCATGGAGCTAGAAATCGGCGATCCGAAGGATCCCGTCCCGGTCTTAACGACGAGGGAGAAAGGGTTCCACGCGTCGTTGGGACGATACGCGATCTTGATGGACGGCCCGGATTCGAAGAAGGTGCCGAGGTTGAGAGTGAGCTCCTTGGACTCGCCGGCGACGATGCCGGACTGGAAGGGGAGGCCCAAGATGCTGAGTGGGACCTTGGCTCGCATCAATGGCTTCTGGTCCTCACGGAATTTGACCGACGCTTTCATTGTTTTGTTGTTGCAGAAAACCCTAATTCGGAATTTTGGGGGAAAAGGGAGTAAAATTTATAACCGATTTTATGTTGGGGTGTCACACTGAATTTTGCAGTGAATTGAGTGTTTGGCTTGATTTGAAGATTCATGTGGGAGTTGTCATCTGGGTGGATTCGTCAGGATTTAGCCCTCGACTTGGTGACACGTGGCACGAAGTTTAAATTTTGGATTTTTTTGGAAGTGGTGAAATTTAAATTTTGGAATTTTAAATATTTTGGAAATAATTGAGCTGAGTTGGTGGTAGTAACGTATAGGCGCAGATTTGGTCGCTGAATGCTCGCTGCTAGAGCGCCCCAAACGGCGAGCATTTTTCTCACCTTCGAAAATGAAGGTGATGTTCACTTTTCTATCGATTGTGGTTAGTGGTTAGTGGTTAGTGGTTAGGTTAAGATTAAATTTCAAAATTTATGTTTTCAATCAATTAAATCAAACTAATTTAACGGGAATTAAATTTCAAAATTCTATCGCTGCTAGAGGTCACCCGTGGTAATCAATCGATTGTGGAAGACTCACCCGTGCGCAATTGCAGTCAAGAAAACGCTGATGCCATTCGAAAAAGGAAGCGTAAAATGATGTCAAATTTCATCGCACCTTTCATTTTGGTTGTGAATAACAATTACACCAATAACAAATGTCATTTTGGATTCAGCATACATAGCAATGTCAACAGCAAAAATGGATTCCAACTAAAAAGACCCTACTACCCTCAATTCTCCATGGAAAACACCCATGTTATTTTTGACCTCTAGCACTACCACAGAGAGTTACTTTGCGGCTTTTGGAATATCAAGGTTTTCAAAAACTGGGCTGTCAACTCCGACTCCCATCGCATTCAGACCATTGTCCACGTATACAACAGTTCCGGTGATAGCTGATGCCAATGGCGATGCCAGGAAGGCAGCAGCGTTCCCCACCTCCTCTGTGTCCATGAAAGTTAGAAGTTCATTTAAGTTTGCAAGGTACAATCGTGTCTAATGAAGAATGGAAAATATGATTTTCATGCTTGTGTTTGGTTGTGTACTTAATCACTCACCAGCAGATAGTTCTTTCTGCAAGGGTGCATTTTCCGACGAGTAATCAATCATCATATCAATGAATCCAATTGCCTTTGCTGCACGACTTCTTAATGGTCCTGCATTAGCAAGAGAAGAAAATGTGAGGACACAGAAGCATGCAGCATTGAGGGTTTAACAAAAATGCGAGGTCTAGATAAGTTTGAAGCCCCGATAACAAAAATGTGCCACTATCGCTTATCAACACCTTACATTGAATGTAGCTAATTAGCTTATCATTAAATGCATGCATGTAACATCGATATTTTGGTTTCAGAACGTAAACACTGTTTGACCTCAAGGTGGTCAAGAGTGGAAGATAGATTCTGTCACAGAAAATAATTGTAGTACCTGCAGATATTGTGTTAACTCTAATGTTGTGCTTTCTTCCAGCTTCGAAGGCCAGCACCTGAATTCAAGCATAGAAATGGGATATATATATAAGTTTGATTACAAAAAATTAGGAAAAATCTAGACAATGGTCAATCAAAAAGATAACACAGAAACACAACAGACAAAAGACTCACACGTGTGTCACTCTCTAGAGCAGCCTTCGCTGAACTCATCCCTCCACCATATCTGCAAGTAAAATAGCTTAAAACAAAAGTTTACTCTGAGGATAACTATTGACGAGTAGTATCAATGCAAGAAGACATGTACCCGGGAATGATCCTTTCTGAAGCAATGTATGTTAGAGAGAGTGAAGCACCACCTGCCATGATAACATTTACCTTTAGATTCAAGGCTGTCTAAAAACACTCACTAGAACATCACGGGATTTTGAAAATTGAAGAGCGGAGGAGAGAAGGAGGAGGAGGAGAAAGAAAGTACTAAAGTTAGAGTAGTGCCTGGGTTCATTATTGGAGCAAAATGCTTGAGTAAAGAAACATATGAGTAACTTGATGCAGAGATAGCTGCAAGATATCCATATCTTGACGTCTCCAAAAGAGGTTTGGTAACCTGTGAATGATACATTTACTTCCTAAGTAACACGAAGATCTTAAACAATGTTGCAAAACCTAAAAAAGGAAGAAATATTCACCTCTGGCCCATTGGCAAGAGAGTGGACAAGGATATCAATGCTGCCAAAATCCTGCTTCACAGATTCCACAACCTCCTGCAAAACATATTTACAGAATCAGACAATATAGCCGAGCCAATTTCTTAACCCAACATCTGGAAACAAAACCTATAATAAACAAGAATTTGAGCTCGACCATATTCAATTATAACCTATATGTTTGCAAATAAGCTTGAGACATTTCAAGCATGTAATTCATCTGGAAACATTTAGTTTAACCATCATTCCTCTAACAAATTCTATTTTTCATCTTGAAGATCGCATCTAATAAGCGACGAATGGCACATTACTAGGGGTATGGAGGTTGCTGTCTCCTTATAGCAGTGTTATATGAGAATAACTTTCAGTATTTTGTTGTCGGGTCTAAGCTATGGGAAATTATACTAGATAGGCCAAACTTATATCCAGGCTTTTATGTTTTTGGAGGGAAAGGGAGGAGTCAATGCCCTGATAGGTCCCCCCATCCTTTTGGCTCTGTGCGTCACTTAAAGGCCGAAAGATTATTCATTATCTGCTAGCCGGTAAAATAATAATTTAATAACTTCAATTGAACTGTAATCTGGTGAACAAAAATGGTACCTTAACAGTCCAATTTGAGGACCCCAAGTAGCGTTTGTTGGTTTTTATCTGCAGAAAACACAATACGAGCATCACTACAAATATAATTTGGCTCAAATTTTATATTCCAGAAACTAAAAATCAGGAGATTCATACATCTTCAGGAACATCCTCGGGACTGTCAAAAACTGCATCTAATGGGTAAACCTTGGTAATTTCCATCAAAGAGCCATCTGGCAGTCTGAAAGGGGATAAAGAAACAAAAGGAAAGCCTGAATTAGACACAGATAGATAAACATCAATAGATTTGCATGAAATGCAGGAAACGAAAGATCTGCTCTTACTTGCGTGTCTCGTCAAACTTCCCACGCCTTAAACTGGACTCAAAAATGTTCAGTGCCTATGCCAAAGAAAACTTCATTAAAAAACTATACATTTTCGTCAACAGTTAAGGCTCCAATATCACTAGAGAATTCAGTTATATCTATTTACATACCGGCACCCATGTACCAACTAGAATTTCAGCCCCAGCAGCAGCAAGAGCTTTTGATATTGCCCATCCATATCCATGATCATCAGCCACACCAGCAATGAATGCTCTCTTTCCTGCAAATAGCTGTCTCAGTGTTAGATTCATCAGATTCGATGTTCTTCTTGTGTGACAATTATCAACGAAGCTAATCCATCTGAGAAAGCCAATACATCGATAGTTCCATTTCCAAATAATCTAAACAATGAAAGCAATCCCATGGTCTTGCTTTGCCTTCCAAAAGTGTCTTCCTAGACGAAGTCACATTCCTTTTGATATCCTCTTGATTTAGAGCTAGAATGGAATTATAAATTGTAAACCATAAACTGCATTCATTAGTGACAAGTGACAACCCAGTAAACTAAAATAATATATCATTGAATACAATGACAAAGACCTTCACGAAACTTCATTAGAAATATCTGATCCCTAATAACTATTGTTGTTGCTCGACTTTAATTGTGTGTCATTAACATGCAAGTTCGTCACAACAAAGAAAAACACAGAACCTCATATACACGTTACAAACTTGAGTACTTAAGCACAATTTCTAGAAGAAAGATGTTTGACCTCTCAAATCAATAGGCAATCCTGGTAGTGGACTGTTCTCAGCTGCTCCTGACATTGCTCTTGTGACAACCTTCACGGATTTCGCAGGCCCTGATTTCAAGCTCTGTGAGAATGGCTGTGTTGCTGAGATGTGCGAAGAACTCTTAAGCCTTCTCCAAACTCCCACCTCGCTGTTTGTACCGAACTTTGCTGTGCATGACATATAAGTTCTTTGAGAGGACGATATGCAAGGCTTAACCGCTGCCATGTGTGATCCGGGAGCTGCAGTCATGGCCATTTTAGATAAAAATCACAAGAAACCGAATCAAAGTTCTGCAAGATCAGGAAGCATACACGATAGTAAGTTCACACTTCTCACATCTTATCAGCAATCATTAGAGATATTCCGATACCGATTTTAACTACAAACACAGGCAGTAAATTAAACATTTTTTTTTTCTTCATAAAAGTAAAAACAAATCAAGAAACAGTAAACTGTGTCGTCTGATGCAATTAAATCTTAACAGGATGAACAACTAATTTGGCACATCATTTTCCACACTGGAAAACCACTTTATCACAAATTATTGGGTAAATATTTTGGATTAAGTGGTGTTAATAATTACCATTACAATAACAACATCACATAAAGATTAGTTCTTTTCAGTTAACTGAATCACTAGCACAATCTAAACACACACAAAACATCAAATCAACCCAGACTGAAAACATTCCTAAAATACTAACAACATAATCAAATCCAACGTCTGAACTGATCAGGAATCAGTGGAGATGCGTCGACATTGAACCCATTTCATAGAAAGATCCGAAGACTCACCTGCGACTTGCGCTGTGGTGTGTTGGGGAAGAGAAGAACGAGGTTTCGTTGGAGTGTTTATATGAAATGTGAGTGTCTGTCTGCTTTTGTGTGGGGGATTTTCGATGAAATCGAGGGTTTTGGTTTGTTGGATGGTTGGAGTTGGTGACTGTTGAGGAACTTGTAAATGCCGATCGAGGGGTAGGAGAGATCGTTGAGCTGTGTTGTTTTTGGCGCCCTTGTGAAATGATATTTTTGCCCTCGTTCTTATTGCTCCTTTTGGTTTGGGCTTGGGTATTAGAGAAATTTTATACATCTTATGTGTAACAATTTCAAAAACAACACGTTATACGATTCAAAATTCATACAAATGTATAATCCAATGTAAATGATTAACACTATTTAGCAAGGTTTTACTAGTAAAAGAATAACCTTTTCTCATTTTCTTGTTTTTCAATTTTTGAATACAAGCAATGCTGGTTAAGGGAGACTCGAACATAAATTATCTAACAACCTGCATTACA